TTACTTCAAATGTCGTCTTTAAAACATCCCACAATGGCTCACGAGAATGAACATAATGTTGTGCTAACGGGCAGTGCTGGAACACGCAAATTATAGCAAGGGTACCAAAAACATTTGAGATTAAAAAATACGTTCATGTTCAATACAACACGTATATAAATACAAAAAATAAACATCTTACATGTTTCGCCGTTTCCCAATTGTAGTCATCAAGATAGACTTTGTTCAAGGTTGTGTCGCAAAAAACACCGTCTTGTTCTAGCAAATACCCAAACGTACGGTACCTTTCCTTCAATACCTTGAACGTGACATAGCATTCCATGAAAGTGAGATTGGGAGAAATTTATGCGAGGCACGTCTGGTACAAACGGTTGAATGCTTGTTCGATATGTAACTCGTGTAGCATGGCCTCCAATCAAATAAAACGTTGTAATATCAAACAGAAACGCTCTTCGTTACTCGCATTCTATTTGTTTGAAAAACCTTCGCGTATAAAATAGAAGTGTTCGCCCTTCGAGTTTATCTGTTGAATATTCATGATTTTGTTTTATGACATAAATTGAGTGATTGTAGTGTGAGTGTTGCCACAAACCATAAGTGTATTTATATAAGTGGAGAACATGTCCGATTGGTATGGTTGGAGAAATTAGACGTGGGCCAATTTATTTTCGGGGCCATGTGTTTGTAAAATAATTTTTGTTATATTAATATCAATTAAGAACAAAGCTTCATTTCCAAAAAAAAAGCCTATGTACAATTATACTACACAATTCGATATGTACAAATATCGATATTACTTACTATTATATAAGTACAAAAATATATATCTTAAGTACATAGAAATAATATGGTGACATGTATATGCATAAGTGTAGAATATATTTATTATTAATATTAAGCAAATTAGATTAATTTTTTTACTTAAAGGGTTTTTTTTTTACGTAAATCTGATACTTATAGGGGCTTATAGTTTATTATATTTGAATTTATTATGTTTCCAATTTATTCTCACAATTTTTTTCCCACTTACGTACTGTGAAAATACAATATGGATTGTGGTTCATCTCAATGTGCATGAACAAAATGGAAAAAACAAAAAAAAAGTTGGAAATAAAAAAGTTAAAAAAAAGATTGTCCATACCGAAAAGAAGTGGGAATCTTTTTACAGAAAAAATGACAAAAGATGACAAAAATGCATTGACTTGTAGTAGAAACTTTTTTTACACAAGAACTCACATGCAAAATATCAGGTCTCTCCATAATGTGGCCCGTGTTGATTGCCTATACTCCTTTCTGACACGCGTCACTCATGCCGGGAATCTCAAACTGATGAAAGCAACCACACCTCTTTTTTATTATCATTCTGCAAAGTGTATGCCACCGTAATATTATATTATACAATAAAATAGGTTCAAGTTGGAGTTTAGAAAGTGTTTTTATGAATAAAATATAGTGTCCTACATGTTGTTTTTATGAATAAAATATAGTGTCCTACATGTTGCCCATACTCATTCTCAGTTTCAAACTTTGGCCCATGCACTCACGTCCTACATGTTGTTTTTTTTTATCATTTTTTTTATGTTTTTTTTTTGCCTTTCTTCTTATATATAAATGTTATATGCATTAAAATTAAATTGTATGCATTTATAAAAATATGTATATATTATTATCTTCATATACTTATAAAAATAGCTTTTGTTTTTACAATTTTGCGTTGCATGCTTACGTACAATTTTCGCGTATTTACCTCCAATTTTGGGTTGTGCTGCTTTTCCATTTATACATATTATTTTTTACACAATATAGACATATGTACTAATACACCGATAAATTTCATATAAAATAAATACATTTAAAAAAAACATACGCGACAATCTGATATAGTTATTTCTAATAATATTTTTGCATTACATCATGATGAATTTCAGAAGTACTACAATAGTTAAGAACTCAATGACCACATAAAAACCAGTAATGACATCTGGGGTCGCAATTTGAAGGGCTGACGGTGTATCATTGTTCGGTGGCGCATGTGACGAGCTTGAGTAGTTGGCCCCACAAGTTGTGTGACTGCTACTTTGTGCATTGGATTGTGCCCCATTTTACCCAGTTTTTGCCCTCTTTTCTCCCGCCCGAAAATATCTACTTTACACCTTCTCTCACCTTTTTTACTAGTAACCTGCCACAAGCATCTCACTCTCCTTGCACCAAAATAAAGAAAGCAAAAGTCTTCTCATATTAGCTATACCATTTCACAAGAGAACAAAAAAAAGTTGTGTACTTTTCGTCACATGCAATACCATCCCCATTCCTCACAGCTGTTTAGATAAGACCATTATGCAAAATGCAGATTTTGCAATATGGCCAAGGTTATTCCAATAGCAAATGACAGATAAAAAAATGACAATTATAAAAAAACGTTGTGAGATTTTTTTTTCCAAGCACAAACAATTCTTTTTCTTTCACATGTAAACAGTTCCGTTTTCACATGTAAACAGTTCCATTTTTTTTTATAAAACCTGATTGCAATTATAAGAATTATTTTATAAATAACAATTATTTTATAAAATTCAGTTTTATTTTTATAAATTAATTTATTACAACAATAATATGTTAAAATATAATTTAATATAATCAATGGATTTTATAACATGTAGTAAAATTCAATTTACTATTCAACAAAGAGAATTTACCTCACAGTTACTTCATTATGGAACAAATAAAATAGGAAAAAACTAATTTTTTTTTATGATGTTAAACTTATCTTCTCTTTCATCATTTATAACATGAATTTATTCATATGTTTTTTTTTTATTAATAATGATTGTTTGTAATTTTAGTCCGTTACAAATATCATTTTAAACCCGCTACAAAATTATGTTACTAATATCGCAAATCCATTACAAAGAACAAT